AATATAATTCATCACCATCTGCATCATTCATTTTATAATTTGCACACTTTCAGCGTGATGCATATACCTTTTACAATTTCAATCCTTTATTCTCTCTATCATCTTAATAGATCCCTGATCTGTATTTTTATTATTGAATTTCTTGAGGAAGTTCATATAGTCTTCATTTTGTTCTCGATTTCAACATATATTTGGAGGACTTTGAACTCATATCATTTGTAATGTGCATATTTTCCTTTCAAGAGCTCATTCATATCAGTTAGATATGTTACTAGCTTTATCACTTTCATATGAAACTTACTTTCTTTCATAACTATCTCGTAACTTCAGGTTACGTGTCAAATCATTTCGTAACTTCAGGTTACGTGTCATATACCTATTACGTGTCAAATCATTTCGTAACTTCATGTTAAGTGTCATATACGCTTGTGTTTATCTAGTGGATCCATAATATCTAGTAGCACACATGCAGGGGTAGTGGGCTTACGTATATCTACCCATTTTCATACTCATATTCATCAATATCAATTCTCAAATATTTAGCTAGTAATATTTTTCACCAATCGAGAACAAGCATCACACGTCACAAAGAATAAGTTAATCATGCAAACCAAAATCAATAATATTGTAAATCACAATAATTCATTGTGACACATTTATATTTCACAAACATATCACATCATCTTTCAGCTGCAATAAATGCACTTTAAGTGCAGACTCTGGCACACAATCTTTTAGTCATTGTTCAAATCCAGAATCGTATCATGTCTTCTAACATATAGACTTTTGAACATTGTTTAAATCTAAAGTTGTATCACATAAGCATCATGTTTTACTATAAATTATCAAGTAGTTCATTCAATCTTTTTTAACAACGGTCCAAATTTACCAATGGATTTATCACTCAAATATCCGTAAAAATTATTCATTTCTTCTAATAAATATCAGAAAAAGGATTGATCAATCTCATTAGAAAGATTGAGGGTGCTAATGATTAAGGATGTTTTAAGTGATACTCGATGGTTGATTTAAGCAAAATTTCGATTTTCTGGAGAGTTTTCAAATTCATATAAGTATGTGCTAGGTATGGGTAAGAGTACTTTTGCAAAGAAACGAATAGCAAAAATAGTAGGTGGGTGCTTCAAATGCGCTCGATGGACTTGTGACACACGATGTACATTTGTGGGGTTCGTATCCAAAAATTAAGAAGTTAAAATAACATTTATAAAGAATAGATTGAATAAGGAGTCTATGGATCAAAGGACTCAACAGATTCTTAAGACATATCCTAGTGGGTATGTGCATCGTGAACTTATGTATTTATGGATTCAGTTCAAAAATGAAGAACGTTATGTCTCCAAAATCTTGTTTCAAAAGATCACGTTTGTAAAACTGGTATTGTTAGTATGAAAAATCATACTAATGCAGTTTAGTATGTTGCGATGTAATTTTCCAAAAAATCTTATAGCTGCCGACATATAAGATTTATTTAAAACCCGACACTTTATCTGTCAGTTGTAGAAAACAATAAGATTATGTATCGTTTTGTAAAATTTTCCATTTAAATAGCGAGTCATTCATCATTATCATATATCTCACAAAATTTTGGAAAATTTTGTTTATCAATAAATAGATGGATATTTCAGAGTCTTCGCAATGTAATAATTTTATTTAGCCCATCAAAACTGTGTGCGTTCTTGGTGGCTCTAAACTGGTAAGTTTTTCTCAAAATATTGATATTGTAAGTCAGTTAGTAAAGAAGATGGGGAATCAAAAATAAATTTTTTGTATGGAGGGACTAGCATCACTTTCTTTGATAGTCTGTTAATGGTTGGACAATATTTTGAGATGGAAGTGAAAAGTATCATACCTTTTCGTAGAGCTTCAACAAGAGTCGTCAATGATTCCATAAGCTTGATGCTAACTCATTCTATTTATGAATGTATGATGGATAGGGTGAACAATAGCGATGCTTTTATCATTCTTCCAGGCGTTTATGGAACATTAATGACAATGTTTACCATTTTTTCTTGGGCAGAATTGAAATTTCATAACAAGTCTATTGAATTTTAAAGACTTCTTTCATGGTTTTCTTAGATTTTTAGACATAGGGGTATATCAAACCCTTATATCTCCTTCAATGAGAGAAGTAATCAAATTTGCAGACAAGTCTGATGAACTTATCCAAATGCTTCAAGAATGCATCTCATTTCAAGATTCTGTGGAAACAAAAGGGGCCAACCAAAAAATAGCTTTTGATATTTTAGATCACTTATTATGAACCAAGATACCATTCAGGAATGGCAGAGTTACGGAGTTTTATACTCTCGAGACGTACCCTTCTTTTATACGTTCTATTATTTAATGTTATTGCATTTTGTACTTATTGAGGCTTCACTACCTCTTTCCATCATCTGAACCTTTTGTACTCGTTCCCTAGTAATAATAATATCAATATCGTTTTTCCTCAAGATAAGTGTATAGTAGTTCATGACTACAATCATTATCATATGTGCTTCTTCTGGAGCACTTTATTGTAATATGTGTATGATCTTGTATCTCTGTGTGATTCCGTCATCTGATATATTACCTTAGACTTATAATATATTGAGAAATCATTTTGTGTGATCACCTTTGATACCATTTTCTCAATTTGTTCAATCATCCAATGGTAGCTTGTGGTACCATTTCATCACTTTGTTTAATCATAACGTGGCAGCTTCCAGTACCGTTATACCATGATATCATTTAATCATTATGTTGTAACTTCTGGTATCATATGGTAACTTCTGGTATCATCTCATCAATTTTTGTTTCTCCATAAATTTGGAGAATTTATCAGCTGTTTTTCCAGAATCAGGTTAGTCCATATATGATTAGGACTTTAGTCAACTTTCGCATGGCCAGATACAAAGTATCATTTATTTCACCTATCGGCTATCACAAATTAGTAGTGTCTGTCACCGGCGGCAGAGCTGCAATGGCTGGCCAATGTATATTTATAGACATTCATATCTTTTTACATGTATTATTTGTTGCACGTAGCTTTACCACCTGGCCATTCCATATCACCGGCTATCTTTAATACATCGACCGATCCATTTAGCCGTTCAATATTATCTGTTGCTGGTGCTGCAATTCTTGGTCATTTCTTATATCGTTCATACTTCTTTATGATGTTTTGATCAACAATTTACCCGTCGGTTACCATTAAATATTACTTGCCGGCGGCAGAGCAGCACTGGTTGGTCCATATAGCCACAAATTTTCTTTACATATCACAATGGGTAATCCATAAATTTCCGCATGTTCACGTACCAAATAATTTTCACAATGGAGAATTCGAACATTTCATAATCATATAATATGATAAACTATATTAATATTGGTCTTAAATCGAATCTCTATTTAAATGAAATATTATGAAATCATAAAACACTATTTTTATACTATATGCCTTCTGTACTTGAGAAATTGAATTTCAAAGTTTAATGGATTATTAAAATAGTTTGTTGATATATTATATTGTCCATAATGCATATATCATGTACACACCATAAATGTTATTGTCGACAAATTGTTAAGTGCACGTATTTATTCTAATATGTCACTATCAATAGTGCGTGTGTTTGTCTTAATGTGTTTCACTTGTCAGACACAATCAATGTTATCATTTTTATTGTGTTCAATATTTATTTTAGTTTTATCCTTTCTTTGACTTGTTATTTTCAATATTATTATTAAGTAATACGTGTATGAGATGATAATGAATCACATCTTTCAAGTATTTCATTATTTTTCACCTATAAAGTTTGCCTTTTGCGTTTGAGGGGAGATGAGAGATATACCTTGTTGGTTGCACTTGATTAGGCCTCACCATGAATGAGTCTCACGTTTATGATACTCATGGGGTTGGATTTAACACCCAACCAGAAGCAAAGGATTGCGATTGATCGAGCTACTCTTATGCCTATTTTGTTGTTGGATTAAGCTTGCTCATCCATTAAGTCCAACTCGAGTCGGGTCACACATGAAGCTCCAGATAATCTGTTTATATGGAACAAGACCACAATTCTTATTGTACATAGAGCAGTTATGAGGAGCTTTTTTATTTTCTACCTTCTCACTTTTCATTTTATTTTCCTTCTTCCCTTTCATATTTCATTTTGGGAAACAAAAGAGTACTTTTGTTTATATGGTTCTTGATTATGGTGGTGTCAATTGAAATGAAACATATCATGTGTCAGAGAAGTAATTAAAATGGCTAAAGGTAGGATATGAAAATTTAGGAGGATCCCCCATGAGTGATATGAAAAATCGCTTGGAGAAAATAACGATTTGTAACACTTAGATTTTTGATACGGAAGGTCATCTCTAAGATGCAATCGTAGAGCATACTCTCGTCATATTACAAATCGAGCCATAGAGGGTAGAGACTCGTGCTGATAACATGTTATAAAACTAGAGAGAAAGAGAAAGAATAGAGAAAATGTGTTCTTTTGGTACGATTTTCATTATAACTGAAACTCCTATTTATAAGCAAACTTCTGATGGCACAATCATAATAATAAAATTTCACTAGGGCAAAATATTCATTCACTTGTACAAATAATAGTTATCTCGTTCATAACAATATGAGGAGATGCTACAGTCCCGTTACGGAACCATTCTGTCGGGGTTTGTAACCGTAAAATCATCATGTAATCATCGTGGATAGTTGATCTAACGGTTACAACTCCCAACGAAATAGTTCCGTAACGAGATAGTAGCATTTCCAACAATATGATCAATTATTGTAATACTTAAATTTAAAAAATAATTTTAACAATAAATTGCTCTTGGATGTTACCATGTGGCAAACTGAATTATTGCCAGTAGGTAAGCAAGCATATTGGCCCATGTTCCTTTTTCGACACTGAAGAGTTTCTTATTCAATTTTTCACTCTTTGGCCAAAATTCTCCATCCATCTTTTCTAATCTCCCCCGGAGAACTTCAATCCATGGCGTCGCCGACGGTAAACATCGGAATCCTGGGCTGCGCCGACATAGCCCGTAAGGTCTCCCGTGCAATTTCGCTCTCTCCCAACGCCACACTCTACGCCGTCGGCAGCCGCACCTACGACAAGGCTGCCAGATTCGCCCGGGAAAACGGGTTCCCCGCCGCCGCCAAGATCTACGGATCGTACGACGCCGTGCTGGACGACCCGGAGGTGGACGCCGTGTACGTGCCGTTGCCGACCAGTCTGCACATAAAGTGGGCCGTGCTCGCGGCCCAGAAGAAGAAGCATGTGCTCCTGGAGAAGCCCGTGGCGCTCAACGTCGGCGAGTTCGACGCCATCCTCGACGCATGCGAATCCAATGGGGTGCAGTTCATGGACGCTACCATGTGGATGCACCACCCGAGGACGGCGAAGATGAAGGAGTTTCTGCAGGATTCTTTCAAGTTTGGCGAGCTCAAATCTGTATGTGAAGTCTTATTCGATTCCTTTTTTTATTTCTGTCTTGTTTGATTTCCATCCCTTTTAGCTTTGCTTTGCCTTTAATTGTTTGATTAAGAGTGGTATGAGGTGAATGGGTGCTGTTGAAATAGGATCAATCAAGAAGAATTTTTAGGTGGGGTTTAAACCTTATTGATTAGTGTAGAAGGATTTTGGCTCTACAGCTATAGTGTAGTGGCCAAGAGTTCGCGTGATTTGAGTGAGATACTTGGGGATTGCTGGCAAACTCTAAACAAAGTGATTTTGAGCGTGAAATTCGTTGTTGTTATCGGAATTACTGAAGTTTCTCTGAAACTAACTCCCATTGAGTTGAAGGAAACGAAAACGAAAACAAAGAATTGCGGAGGTCAATGGTGATTATGAAATCTATTCTTTGAGTGTGGCTTGAAGTTGTGTGTGCTGGCTGTAAATTTTGTACATCAATGGGGGTTTGTGTTTTTCTTCTCATAGCTACAACTCTAACTCCATCAGAACCTGTCACATTGTTGTTAGCTCTACTAGATTCTTAAGCATCAATCTAATCCTCGTGTCGCAGATAATCATAAATAAACTTTCTCATTCTTTTCCAATTATTTCTGTACGAAGCATGGATGCACCTGCATTCGTTCATACTCTGTTCATGGAGAAAAAGACTAAGAAACTCCCATGTTCTGGAACAGCTAGCTAAGTAGTGGATTCTCAGGACCTATCAAAATGGTGAAGAAACACTTTCAACTATGTTTGAAAGTTATAGGAGATTCCGAAATGTGTAAAACTTCTATACTATACTGTTTGCCACCTTTGTTCTGACAAAAATAGCAAGTACAGATGAAATTAGTAACTACAATTGATAAAAGCTTATTGGGTCTACTCAGGTGCACAGCTGCTTCACGTTTGCCGCGACCAAGGACTTCCTTGAAAACAATATCCGCGTGAAGCCCGACCTCGATGCCCTTGGCGCCCTCGGTGACGAAGGCTGGTACTGTATCCGCTCCATCCTCTGGGCCGCCGATTTCGACCCGCCCGCATCAGTCCTGGCCCTGCCCGGCACGAAATTCAACTCCTCGGGCGTCATCATTGCCTGCGGGGCCTCCCTCCAGTGGTCGGACGGCAAAACCGCCACCTTCCACTGCTCCTTCCTCGCCAACCTCACCATGGACCTCACTGTCGTCGGGACCCACGGAACCCTGACACTGCACGACTTCATCATCCCGTTCGAGGAGAACCGGGCCTCGTTCACTACTGCTGTCCGGTCGGGATTCACGGAGCTCGTCACCGGGTGGGACCCGCGGCCGGAAAGTCACGAGGTCGAGACGGGTCTCTCCCAGGAGGCGAACATGGTGGGGGAGTTCTCGAGGCTCGTCCGGGGGGTTAAGTACGAAGGGTCGAGGCCCGAGGGGAAGTGGGGTGCCATCAGCAGGATGACGCAGCTTGTTTTGGACGCCGTGAAGGCCTCAATCGAGAGGGGATACGTGACGGTTGATGTGCCCAAATGAGGTTTTTTTTTTTTTTTATTTTATATTTATTTCTTTTGCTTTAAATAAATTGATTTGCAAGCTACGCTCTTTTATGGGTGTGTTCGTGTTGTTTGTTTGGTGTGCTGACTGGGTCAGGTTGCTTGTGTTGCCAACTTGCCAGATTGTGTAAGACATTAGTTATGTTTTCTTCTATTTGGCTTGTTAAAGCGGAATGAGTTTACATATATGCATTGAATGTTTCAAGCTATCATAATATTGACACTGATATTGCTTGTTATTCATTCTTATATTGATATAACAGTTTGAAATGGCCACAAATAGGCAGCCTGCATCATCAAATGTATTGCTCGTCAGTTCAGTATACAACCAAGTATTATTACGTAATAACTCTATCAAACCAGACATTTTTGCTCTAATTAATTATTCCCTTTCCCCATAAATTTTCGAATAATATATATGTGCCTTGACCGGCTTTAGCATCTCGGCATGTCTGCAGGTGGCGGCAGCATCCTTGCATCTCTCCCTCTTCCATTCTTGACAATGAAAGTCATCTCCATTCCCCAAGTTATGTGACGCTCTAAATGGCAATGCAAAAGCCAAACACCTACACAACGAACAAAAATGGTTAGTTACGGAAAACGCCTTTCGTGTTCGGTCTAAATTACAACGATACTCGAGCAATCTTTCGAGCACACCCTCTTTAGGTTTGTCTTTGTTATATAACTCAAGTTTCTCGAAAGTTTGTACCTGGATTGTCAGCCCTGAACCTAATTGCGGTCCACCCGTTCCTCGGCACCACAATCGTGTTGACCAGTGGGGGGTCGACGAGATTGTATCTCATCGGGTCCCGACTTTCGTTGAAATTCCCGCTTCCCGACCCAACCACGTAGAAACTGTACCCGTGCAAGTGCATGGGATGATAAACTCCCCCTAGAATGTTCGTCCCTTGGAAAACGAGCTCCACGGTCGAATTATACTCGATCTCCCTAACCTCAGTCCCGTTCCTCGGCACCCAGAGTAGCTCCGGAATCATTTCTTGAGTGTAGTTGAAAACCAAAGGAGGCCTACTCGGAAAATCGTCACCATACACTCCTCTGACACGGTTATAATACGCTTCCAAGATCGAGATCCTCGGTTGCACGAACGTTATGTTATTGATACTCGCACCGAGCCGCGCCCCTAATGCCTCTCCGCACGTCTCGTTCCCTGGGCACGGGATGGTATTCACGGAGAGCGTGAAGAGTAAAACAGTGTTCACGGTTTTCGGCACGTCCATCGGGTGACCTCTCGTTGGCATGCCTCGAAATTGGGACACAAAACGAGTCACCGCTCGCTCGTCACGGATTTCGGGAAGTGTCGGGAGGAGAGGGGCCGACGGGGCCGAGTAGTTGCCGCTGTATTGCACGATGGCGGTCGTGGTCGTGTTGTCGATGTTGCCGGCGAGGCCGTGGGCCCTCGAGGCCATGTAGTAGTGGGTAGGGGGGCGATTGGCGGTCAACAAGAAGTCGATGGTTTGACCAGGGGATATGGCGATGTAGTCGCTCGTGAAGGGGGTCGTGTAGGCGCCGTCGGACCCGACGATCGTGACGTTGTGGTTGGCGACTCGGAAGAACATGATGTTGTTCATGACGGCGTTGATCATGCGGAGGAGGTATGTTCGGCCGTAGTCTACCGTCAGCCTGAATGTATCTGTTGTTGTATAGTGTGTGTTATGTACAAGAAAGTGAGAAAAAAAAAAATAATAACTGAATAAATATCTGCAGGAAATTGATAATTTTTTTGCATTTAAACAAACACAAGATTAAATTAATTATTTCTGCATTTAAATACACAGTGAATTTGCAGGGACCACAACTGTAATAATAGTTGTGTGTAAAAGATAACAAAGACAATTCTATCTTAATTTACAAATTAGAATAAAATGCAATTTGACCACATCCCCTTATCCCCCTATCTATTAATACAGAACGCGCTGAGCTTACGTGGCTGCTTCTGGTGTTTCAGAATCTTATGTGGCAAAATTACATGTTTCGTTATTAGGCTTGAGTAAATTTTAATTTAATTCCAAACCGAAAATAATTAGGTTCGGATTACCATAAATATGTTGATTATTTATGGTCATGTTACATGTATTAATTGTATTTTAATATCATTCCTTATTACAATAATTGAATTGTATAAATATTTTAAAAGCTAATAACTTTTGTATTTTTTATCAGTTTTACATATGTAATATATCAAATTAATCTTCTTTTGATGAGTTTCGATTTAACATCCATATTGTATGTATAAAAAAAAATAATGTATATTTATCTTTATAACAATAATAAAATTATTTTTAATATTAATTAGAAAAATAAAATTATTCATCAACTAATATATTTATATTTCAAGTAGTTATATGATATAAGTTATAACAACTAATATAATATAACACATGTAAGTCATAAGTAACACATATCATTCTAAAATATATAGTAATATTTTTTTTTTTTGTAAAAAAGTAAACTAAATTTAATTTAGTTTTCTCATTAATTTTAAAATTTAAGAATAATTTTTTAACAAGCACCTGTGTAAACACGGGTGTTGTACTAGTAATAAAATAAAAATAAATATACGATAACACGTAAGTAAGTATAAAAATTACTATTTCAACTTTAATCATTATATTTTAAATACTATTAAAATACAAAATCAAAATTTTATGCAATTATTTATTGGACCATCTTTATTTAAAATTAACTCGTTTTAACAAATAAATTTAATCAAAATCGTTTTTTTTATTTATATTCAACTCCAAATTGTATTGGTTTAATAAATTGGAATTCTTAGTTTGGACTCCTCTAATGATGTTGACAATAAAGTGGACGAAAAAGCATACTAGGACTAAGGACCTTCACCACAATCGTCCCCACAAATAACAAAGGACAATAATTTGAAAGAAAGGTCACGTGCGTCAAAAAGGCTGTTGGGTGGAGCTGCAGGGGCAAAATTGTCCAAAGAACGGTACGTGGTAATAAGTGAGCGATAAATAGCGACACCCAATTTTTATATATATCTTTATGTACAACATTAAATAAACGTGCATTACATATATTCGTACAAATAATAAAAAAAATACTTATATATTATGTATTAATATTAATAAAATATTAAATAATCAAATATTATTGAACCAAATAAATAAAATAAATAAAAATAAATATTATATACCAGTTATTTAATATTTATTTTTATTTATTTTATGCAGATAAATGAATTAGTAATTCCGATAATTGTAATATGCAATTTTAATTTTCTGACCTGGTCTGGAGCAATTGTACAAATCACCGGGTTGTCCGTTTATTAGGAAAGCATCAGAAGCATTTGGGTCCCCACCTCTTGCTAGAAAATCATCAACCACAGCTTGTATATCACTGTTCCACCATTCACCTGCACTTTGATATTTTTGCATCACTTTTCTAGAATATCTATACATATATACTATTTAGGTTATGTTTCGTAAAACTAGCTGATAGCTAGCTTATAGTTTATATGTAATTTTCGAGCTTATATGACTTATAGTTGAAAAACTAGCTGATACGATAAAAGTATTAGGTAAAATTAGATGATAAACTAGTTGAAATAAAAAAATTCAACTAGTTTATTTGAAAAACTACCTAAAAAAGTGTATACATAAGCTGAGCTTATAAACAAAACAATTAACTCGTCCTACCAAACGAGACTTATTTGAATACAAAGAGTTCATAAGCTAACCAAATAAGTTAACTTATTTGGCTACTGAAGATAGCCTTAATTGTAACTCTAATTTTGTTCAAAGTTAGCATATTTGATCCAATATTTCATTTTACAACATTTATGGTCTACTAACTTATGTTATAATTGCGGAATTTTCATCCAGCAGTTTTAATATATGTGATATTTCATTTTGTAAGTATTCTGACGTTCTATCGTTTCGGGAAAAAAAAAATATTTTGACGATATTGGAATTTTCGTCTGGGGCCTTTAGAATATGTGATATTTCTGTTGTAAATAGTTTCAAGGATATTACATTACATTATTTATTTAATAAAAATAATTTGATTATAAATTCATCCATATAATGACTTTTGAGAGGTATTTTGTAGTCAACTAACTTGACTCAGTGACTATTCTGGTATTCCATGTGAACTGTTTAATTAAACGATTTGGTAAGTTTGCACAATATCTTAGTTGTAATAATAATAATAATAATAATAATAATAATAATACTTTATTAAAAATAGTAGTAAAAAGTTTTGAAAGCATTTAATGCATACATTTTTTAAAAATTTTTAAATATATGCATTAATTGTTTCAATATACATGTTTTCAAATAAAATCAAATCAGATATGATAAAAAATATTATTTCGTTAAATAATTTTATTAATATCTACAATAATTTTATTGGTATCCATTATAATAAAATACAAGATTGTTTTTTTAGTGATTCATGTTGATACTATTTTGGTCAAGATAAATATTACAACATATTGTAAGTTAAATCGAAATTGTTTAATTAGTATACAAAATTAAATTCTGAAAAAAGATGTGTATATATTTTGAAAATTTTTATACACTACTTAATTTTAAATTTATTCACATATTTTAAATTGAATACATAAATAAACAATACTAACGTGGCTTAAATATTTTTCATCACATAAAATTAAAAGAAAAATAACACGTACAACTTCTATAACTTGACATTATATAACAACAAAATTTATAACAAAATAATAATTATATATTATATGGAGAACAAGAACGAATAAAATTATTATTTTATATTATGTCAAGTAAAACACAAATTTATTAGTCAAAGTTTAACCTCACTAAAATATATCAACAAAAATCTACCGAAAAATATACCAAAACCCAACTCGACTTTTCATTAAGCTAGCCAAACTTCCACGTAATCTACGTGTAACCAAAAAAAAAAAAAAAAAAAAAGTTGCTATTTTTATCCAAACTCAACAAAATTGAACAATTTTCAAAACATACCTAATATGATTGGAATTTCTGCATGTGGTGTAGGGAATGGATAATCGTTTTTCTTCCTCGGATAAACAATTAGCGCGCCATGCACCGTGGCTCGAGACCAGTCACTATGCGCGTGCCACCACAAAGTCCCGATCTCGTCCGACAACACAATCTTTTGGCTAAAACTCGTCCCCGGCTGGATCGGGCACTGCGTTATGTACTCCGGCCCGTCTGACCACGGGTATCTTGGCTGTTTCACTCCATGCCTGCATAAAACCAACAATTTTCGTTGGATTGTGTTTGAGTTAGTGTTCTCACTTCCCTTTTCGGCGACTCGAATCCATGACTTATGGGTCATAGGTGAAGCGTTTTACCACTAATAAGCTGCACTTCGTTGTCTGTTTGAGTTAATATATACTTACCAATGAATGGTTACGTTCTCTCGTGCACTGTTGGTAACGTCAACTATCAGCGTATCCCCTTCCGTGACGTATAAGGTTGGCCCGGGAAATTGGCCGTTTACGGTCAAGATGCTCTTAGTCCTACACAATCTTGTATATGGAGTGTCCCTCAACTGCAATTATTGATAAATTTCACATTAAAAAAATGTAGTCATTCCATAATACTAAGTTAGACGGACCTATCCATGTAAATGTTTTTGCATGCTCACACTATATTAAGCTCGAAAATCGTTAGCATTCAAAAAATGACCGATTTATATAGATTTTGCGTACTTTACCTCAAATTTGTGTCGGTGGACCGTCCCATGACAGGCGGGTAGCGAGATACATAGGATAAGAAACAAGGTAACATGTAAGATGACTAACTTCATCCCCGACCAACAACGCTTTATTCACCACTTGAACGTCGATAAAAACTCGATTTTTCTTCTCCGCAAGTTTTTGATTTGATTCTTCTCTCTTTTCCTCTTACAGTTTTTGTTGTTGTTTTGAATTCTTTTGAATGTGTTATGTCTTCTCTCAGATATTTGAAGTATTTATAGAGTTATGAAGGAGAAGAAAAATCTAGGCTAGCTACTTTTTATAGGATAACAATAATCAATTGATTGATTGTGCCTTGTTTTTGAATGGTGGAAACTGGTTTTTGTCTAGTTCTTCTAGCAAACACGTTTAATCTTCTAATACTTTGAATTGGGCCACATCAGGATTTTTATTTTTTTTTATTATTATGATTAATTTCCTTTAATAGCCTTGATGTATTAAAGCACCAAATTATGTGTTGATTGGTTCAAAATAGAAATAGTAATAAATGAACTAAACTATTAGCCAACTATATTGAGGTCGAGCCGGGGAGATGCTACGGTCCATTACGGAATCATTCTGTTGGGGTTTGTAGTCGTTAGATCAATTATTCCTGACGATTACATGATGATCTAACAGTTACAAACCCCGACAGAATAGTTCCGTAACGAGACTGTAGCATTTTTCGTTTTATAAAACCAAATTAACAAGTTTTAATAATATCCGGTTTGTTTGGTAGTGAACAGATTTTTAGAAAGCACAATTAATAACACATTCCCTATATATAATTGTAGAATATGCGCTGAGCCTTTGTGGCAGCCTCGCACGTTTTGGAGTCCTACTTGACGAAAAACATGTTTCGTAGTTTGGTTTGGATAAAAAATAATATTATTCTAATAAATCATAAATTTTAGGTTCGGACATTCCAAATATATTGAAAAAAATAACTTGGTAATTCCATAATAACTTGATGAATATAACCATTAAGTTGTGTGAGAACCTTTGATAATGATATTGATTGACAAATATAACCTTGATTTGTTTTGGAATCTCTCAATCGGCTAATTAATTTCCATGAAAATCTCAAATTAACCAAATAAATACATATATTTAATATTAAACAATTGTTTTTGTCATGTTATTTAATTTTACAAATAATTTTCTTAACGAGTATCCCCCTATATACAATTGCATAATGCGCTGAGTCTAAAGTTGCAGACTCGTATGCTTAGAACAATTCTTGAAAAACTAACTTATATCGAACATTCCAATGTATTTAATTTTAAACAATTGTTGTAGTTATTATTATTATCTAATTTTAAAAATATTTTTCTTAACAAGTACCGCGTAGTACACGGGTACTCTGTACAAGTAGTATAATACACCACTAATAAGAAAATTTAATTCTAGCTGATCAAGTCCGAGACAGAAAATATATTCAAAACCTGCTCCTGGTAACGTCTGTAAGAAGTAAAATTATTTAATTAAAGTAAAATTTGTAGGAGAAAAAGATGAGTTTGGCAAGCATATAAGATGTTTTTGGAAAAGTCTCTGAGCAGCCTTAACAATTTCCACGAACCTCTTTTTGACAAAAGTGCCAAACCAGCTAATGTACGATGTTCGCTGTCCCAAAGTTTTGTTGTTTTGGAAAGTTTCCACTGATATTATAACCGATTGATATAAGATTCCTCTGTTGTCTTTTCTTGTAGTTGATAAATAAACAATCTGGGTTATGACCTAACTTCAAGTAATTTTGGGTTATATAGTTAGGATTGTTAATGTAAGAAATTAATCGTTTACCACAGCTGAAATTTATACTTTTATAAAAAAAAGGAATATTTTGTATACAAAAAAATTGCACGGACTAAAAAATTCTTATGTTTTATTATTTTTAATGTCAAAACTGTAATAACCGTCACTACAAAAAAAAATTCTTACATTCCAACGGAAATTTTCCGTTGAAATTTTTTATATTTCCGTTGGAATAGTTATTCCAACGGATATTCCTACGTATAAAAATCCGTTGGAAAAACGGCCGTTGGAATAGCAAATATCCGACGGAAAATCCTATGAAAATAAATTCCTACAGCTATTCCAACGGAAAAAAATCCGTTGGAATTCATCAACTATCCAACACTTATTCCAACATAAAATTAAGTTTGTTGGAATATTCATGGGAATTTCCAACGGAAATTTTTGCCGTTGGAATTTTTCGTTGGAATTGTAATGTTTTTTTGTAGTGCGAGTTGAGTATCTCAATGAATTTTATTCACAATTAAACACTTCTGTAAAATGGGATTCTAATAAAAACTAATTTTTTTTATGAAATAAATATAAACAAAATAGATTTAAATAAAAAAATATTAACTAATCAATAATTTAATAAAGAAAAATTAATAAAGGAGATCCAAACGTTTTCGATAAGATTGAATTGCATTAAAATATAATTCGAAATAGTATATGGAACAAATAAAAAAGTGGGGGGAAGAAGTACTATCTTCAGTTCTACAACTTACATATTAAGTATAAAGTATTATAATATAAATTTAATACTATTCCAAATGTTTGTTATTTTTATATTATTAATTACATAACTACATACAATAGTAAACAAAGTTTATATAATATATTTCTATAAAATTATATAACATAATTATATAAAATTTACACGAAACAAATAACACGGGATATAAAACTACTCAAATAGATTTTTTGAAAAAATTATCAAGTGGGCGAGACGAGAACCAAAATAATAGAGAAAAATACATGATGTAAAATGAAAAAAAAAACATAAAATGTATTTTGCACATAAATTTATGGACATAATAGCAGATATTAAAATATAAAAATAATATTTTTATTTTATTATTTTATTCATATTTAGATTAATTACTAAAATTAAAATTTTTGAACACAATAATACATTGGTTAGAAAAAATAACAATGTTGACTAGTATCAAATTTATTTTTATTATACTATGAATTTATAAATTTTGTACTACATAGTTTAGTTGAACTAAAATATAGTTTAATAACTAAGAAATGTTTCAAAAATATTTTTTATCAAAAAATTTATTTTTTAAAAAGAAATAATTATTTATAACCAAAATATAATGATAAGAACTAATATATAATAGAACAATGAATAATGTATGTTATGTTTTTGTGGTATTTTCATACGTTTTATGTGCTTTGGTCGAGTCGTTTTTAGGATCATTTAGTGTCAACTGGTCAATTTTGTCGTGTTTTATGTGTTTTCGTTCTCGTTATGTGTTTTTGTATTTTGCGGTATTTTTGCGTCTCTTTTGGTGTGTTGTTTAGGTCCAATTTGTACGATCGAGAAAACGAGCTATTGTTCCGAGCCATTGTCCATGACTTCGATGCCGAGCCATTTAGAGACGAACCAACCGAGCCACTTGATCGAGCCGCGAGCCTAGCCGAAGAAAACCAGTCGCGCTCACACTTGTTGCGAGAAAGAACTTGCGTTCTGCTAAATGGCGCGCGTAGGGGCCTTGGCCCGGACTCATTGCGAGCTTCGAGTCGCATTTCGTGAAGCGCCTTTGCCCGAAAGCAGCACTCGCTGCGAGTTCATTTCCTCGCCCCGTGAGATGGCGAGCGTGCACAACACCCAGGCGAAAGCACTCGTTGCGAGATCTGTTTGGCGCCCAGCGAGACGACGCGCATGCTCCAGCCAGCCCGACCGACACTCGCTACGAACCTGCCAAGCGGCACGCACGCAGCACCCCCAAGCCACACCACTCGTAACGAACATCATCTTGCGCCGCGCCACAGCCATCCCATGTCAGCACTCGGTGCGAGCCCAAGCTCACAACCTGCGAAACCGCGCGCATGTGGCAGCTTCACGCGGCACTCGCTGTGGAAGTGACTTGGCGACCTGTGAAGCGCCACCCCGGGGCAGCCTAGGCCCGAACTCGCCGCGACTCATTTTGACGACCCGCGAGCGTGCCTTTGCAGGCTATTTTTCACTCCAAACTCGATGCGAAGTGGTTTTCGAGACCTGTGATTTAATTGTGTGTGCACCTAGTGTGTGTTTTTGGGTTGCACTATAAATATGTTTAGCCCTTTGTATTTTGGGGATCCATCTTTTATTTTTATACTTTCCCACTTTGGAAAAAATTTTATTTTTCTATTTTGTTCTCTGTTTCTCCTTTGGAGCTCTATGACATCATTTTTTGGCATGTTCATTTTTGCTCAAGTTTTAAACTTTTGAATTCGAATCTCGTGTAGCACGCAATAGAAGATTGGACATTTAATTTTAAACCTCAACTAATTCGGTTTTTGCCTCGTATTTACTTATGATGCTTATCAAAGTAGATTTGAGTATTTGTTTGGTGATGGATGGAAAATTTAGACTTTATTGTTTTTATTGCTTGCCTAAGTGATATAGTAGTTGATTTGAGTGTTTGTTTGATGAAGGATGGAAAATTTGGACTTTATTGTTTTTATTGCTTGCCTAAGTGATATAGGGTTACAAGGTGTTATGGATATTATACCCCAGGGAGTAAATCGCTCCACCATGCTGGTTGAAGGAATACGACGAACCGGAGAAGTTAGTTTGGCCGAGCAAAGTTGAACAGAATATTGTGGTCGAACATCACGGAAATGGGACACGGAAGATCCCAATACAAAGAGAACAAGTCAGCCTTAGGCCTTCGTGGTATCTTGTCGAAGATCGGCTTGTCGAGCAAAGGGTCATTTGATCCACCACCCTATAAACCGAAGACAACTTAAAGGATTGAATTGAGTATGGTCAAATGTGAGAGCCTTCAGCAGAATTTTCAGCGGAATTCTAGGAGAATCTTTACCCCATGTGCAGAGAACACGTGGCGCATAATGATTGGTGCATGATAATAATGGCGATAGTGGCGATAGCCACCTCTGACACATTCACACTGTGTGTATACAGACGGGCAGGCCTGGGTAGACAGCTTATCATATTTGGGCATCTCCTAGGTCAGGTGTATCACCCGTTTATATAAGGGTGAGCTTTCCTTGTTGAACACGATTTATCTATTTTTTACTCTTGAGAATTGAATGAAACAAACACTGACTTAAGCATCGGAGGCTCTTCACCGGAAAACCGCTCCGGTGTGGGAGTTCCTTGTAGGAGGAAGAAGGCCAACCAATTTCCAGCCGGTCGGAGGGTTTTCCATTACCATTTGGCGCGATCTGTGGGACTCGTTGGAAAAGTGGTGTGCTAAAGCTGTTTGAGCTTGGTGACTATGGCAGGTAATTCCCAGAATCAATTTGCAACCATTGTTCGAAGAGGCTTGGACGATGACGAGGCCGTCTGGAGAAGGCCCCCCCTCCAGGTTTCTGTGGACCTTTGCAGATGCCGATGACGCCAACACCTGCTCCTTAAGGTTTTGGGGCTCCATCAGTGGTCCACGTGATGGATATAGGCTCGATTCATGCTCAAGAGACTCGGGCGACACAGGTGATGACGACTCCAACACCAGTGAACCCAGATCTTGGTGGGTTCAACCGTTAGGAGCGGTGGTGTAGGTGACGGTGCCGCTAAGAGAGGAGCAAATACCTGGCCAACAGGTGGTGAGGATGACTAGGCAGAAGATAGAGCAGATGATGGCCAACGCGGCAACACAAACCGTGCAACAGGTGACAAATCAAACTTCTCGAGCTGCAACCGCGCCGACGACCATTGTAAAAGGCCAACATAACACAGAGGAGGACATCTCAAGCTATGGTGGAGAGGGGGCTGGGCGAGATCGAGAGGTGGAGAGGATTGCAGAGCAGCTGCGTCAATTGCTGGCAAGGTGGATGGCCGAGGATGGAGAGGTCACGTCCTTGCCAGAGTGGTGGTCGTTCTTGGAGGAAGTAGCGAAATTTGAAAAAATAATAATGGAGAGGTGTCAAAGGAAAGAACCTTAGGGTTTTCAAAGAAAAGGAAGAAAGAAAAAAAGAGAGAGCGATGTGGCTAGGGTTTGGGCGAGAGTTTGAAAAACAGGAATCGAGAGCCAGCAAATCAAAAACTTAAAAACAAAAAAACGTTAATTGGAGTTCCAAAAAACTTACTCATTGTTGCGATGGGAAGAGATCGCCAGAAAATTCGAAGTTTCCTGGAGAAGAATCGCCGAGCGTAGGAAATTGAACTTGCAGGAAGGAAATTAGGGCACAAGTGAGTTCAGAAATTTGCAAAGGTGAAAAGTCCAAAAAATCCTAAGTACGGGTATTAATAGGAGGCAAGGTGAAAGGATAAGAACATGACCGTTGGATTAAAGTAGAAATCCAACAGGTAGGAAGCATTTATTGAGCACAGGTACGAGAAGACACATATCGCGAGAAAATGCAATGACGGAAATATCTGACAGACATGAAAAGTGGCAGGTCTGAATTTTGTTGTGATGGGCGAGGAGGAAAGTGGTCGAAGAATATGAAAAAGTTCACCAGACAGTCAATGCGAGGAAAAACACGCTATAATATGAAAGGCGAACCTAGATCTACTCTTAGATCGAGTCATTCAGACTCGACCAGAGTGGGGGAGACTAGATGATATGGGATATTATACCCCAAGGAGAAAATCGGTCCACCATGTTGGTGTAAGGAATACGGAAAACCAGAGAGGTTACTTTGATTGGCATTCATATATCTACATAGTGAGGTTTGAACGTTATTTGTTTCTTGAGATACACCGGTCGTGCTATTGTTTGATTAGAACTTTCCCTGAGTCTGCATTGAAGTAAATCGATTAAAATTGTGAACTGTGTATATGATTAAGTCGTTTATTTTATTCTATCATTTTTTTTTTCTCTGCAAATTATTCCCTAGTTGCCTTTATTATCATAATTGTTTTGTTTTCGATAACCTCGTAATTACACTTTTGTGGAGTCAGGAGTTGAGAAGTGGGGTGACTGATAGTGGTGCAGAGTTGTTTTTATTCATAAAAAAAAGGAAAAAAAAAATGAAGCTGAATGGATTATAAAATGTTCAATGAGGTTTACACAAAAAAAAAAAAAGAGAAAAAAAAATTATGAAATAAGATGGGTGAAACGTGTGATTTTAAGAAAAGTGTGGGGGACGATCCGGTATGTTTGAGCAACCGACTGAGTATACGATTCTGGGGTAAGGTGTTTGAGTTATGTAATGAATTCGAGCCACTTAGCCTATATTTATTCTACCTATCCAAAGAGCCTACGTTACAACCCTGAAAGACCTTTTGATTCACTTGTTTCGATTTTGATTGGTTTAGAGTAGAAGTTAGACAATAGGCTAGCATATGATTGAACTTGTTATCGACCAATTTGAGTGCACCTATCTTTATCTGTATAAGAATTTGAGTGAGGCACACATATACATTCCCATACTTGAGAGAACACCATGTCTAAGTATATTGATCAAGCATGTAGTTGTGTAATGCTCGTATGTGCCATTTGAATGCTCGTTGTTGAAGTTGAACATTTTGAGTCTTATCTTGTTAATGACTGTTGTCTAGGCACGCTTTTAGTTTTGTGTCTTTTCTTTTCTTTTCGAGACGAACAAAGGCTTAAGTGTGAGAGAGTTTGTTTGTCCCATTTTTGTTGCATTTTTCGTGCTTCTTTTGCTTTTCATTTTTCCCCGTTTCAGGTCGTTTCTTTTGTTTTTAGTCCGTTTTGAGTTTTATTATGTGTTTTCTTAATTTTGAGTCTTTATGTGTTTTTTCGTTTGTTTTTTCGGTTTTCTTCGTGTTTTGTAGTTTATGGTGTGTAGATCGGGAGCTTCGGGCGAATATTCTTTTCAGGAAAAAATTGGTTTTGAAAGCATAATTGAGTAGGCGGGTTCATTAGCGACATGTAGGAAAAAACGGAACTCAATTTCGAGTTCGGACGAGCTCAAACGAGGCCGAATCCTTGTCTTCGAGAAAGTTTATGTAAAGTGATCATATTTGGGATTCCAAAATCAAGTAGTATAATGCAGATTAAACATATAATGAGGATTTATATTATTATGCAATATATCAAAACTTTGCTCTCTGCAATATAATTCAAAATATAATTCGACATGATATTTTGATACGAAATTACAACAATATATATTCTAAGAATACCAATCAGTTAAGTAAGCAGCGGACAGAATACTCATTACGGGGTATATGTGTTTGATCTTTCACTTTAAATTAAATGATAAGCATCTGATTTGTGCCTCAACTTTATCATGTTCTAACGTATTCAAACGTTCTGGCTTGTCTGACCGTAGCATCCACCATATTTGTATATTAGTTAGCTACTGAAGATGATAACAAGTATGAATGATGGAATTCATATAATTTTTGCACACATATACATGATTTTACGAGTATGTACGTGTTTTATCTAAATTATTTTCGGATGTGTTTCGCATTGCTCTGCATCTTTTGTTATTACAGTGGATCAAGATTTTTTTTTTTTTGTGAATTTGTTTATTTTAACCAATACCTTCATAAAAAACCATTGTAAGAATTCTTGAACAACAAACAACCAGTAGATATATTCACGACTAAGGTTCTTAGTGTGTTGATAAATTTGTTAGACATAATGAAGGATTAGTCTCTCTTAATCCTCTCTCACATGCACGAGATCTGCATGAGAATGCATGAGCTGGATAGTTTTGAATTTCTTGTCTTTTATTGAATAGAATGAGTGGCCAGCATTTGTCTAGTACATTGTACCCCTTAGCATCTATCCATATTAGGGTTTGGCACATATATAAGAGCAAGCTTGCTCAGCCCCTGTATTCATCTTTTCAAGTAATGAAACAAAGGCATTAATGGCAGCTTTAGCTTTTTCGATTTCTTCACAGTGGCTCTTTCATTTTCATGCCTTTCTCTTTCATGGTATCAGAGCGGGTCATACCTGCCTCTGACACCTCTCCTCTACTCGTCTTTTTCTATTCTCTTTTGAATCCTTCATGTCTCACTCAGATACAGACATGTCAGGAAGCAGCACTCCTATCAACTCATCCTCTTCTCAGCTGCAGCTTGTTTATCCTCAAAGCCAGCTACTAACCACCAAACTTGATAAGAATAATTATCTCATATGGAAACAACAGGCTATGATTGCCATCAGAGGCTACGGGCTAGAGCATTTTATCTTAGGAGAACAACAACCTGCTCAGTTCATTCAACAAGGAGAAGTTCAAATTCCAAACCCATAATTTTCCCTATATCGGAGACAAGATCAGATCCTAGCTTCATGGTTACTGTCATCCTTATCAGAGACTCTTTTGTTCAAATGGTGGGCCTTCAAACATCAAAAGAAATCTGGTATGCCTTGTCCATAAATTTCACCAGTCAATCTTTAGCCAAGCAGATGCAATTTAAGTTACAGCTTCAAACCATGAAAAAAGGAAACCTTTCAATGAGAGAATTTTTTAACAAAATGAAAGGATGCTTTGATATGTTAGCCTCTGTGGGAGCTGGAGTTTCAGAGAAGGATCAAATCCTTCATATTATATCTGCTTTGGGATCTGAATATGATCCAGTCATGATCACAATCACTTCAAGGATTGAGACTTGGACTGTTATAGATCTGCAAGCTCTTTTGTTGAGCTATGAAACTAGACTTGAAGCTGCTGCTGCTCAAACCATTGGCTCCATAAACCCAGATGGCTCTCAACCATCTCTCAACACTGCTTTTCAAAGTAATACAAGGAACACCATGCCTAATCAGAATGCTAATAGAGGAAGAGGTGGCCCTTTCAATAGGGAAAGAGGTAGGTTTAGAGGTGGAAATAGAGAAAGAGGTGGCCGTGCTCAAGGTGGAATGCCAATTTGTCAAGTATGCTGGGTTGGAGGTCATACAGCTGACAAATGCTGGTATAGATATGATTCAAGCTATACACCAACCCAGCAGCCACAGTCAACCTCTACTTCCACTCACCAATCTCAGTTCAATCCTTACAATGCCTATCAGAGAGCTCATGCCCTTCATCTTGCACAGCTTCCTTCATCTCCTAGCATACATGGTGAAAGCACAGTGGACTCCCTTTGGTATCCAGATTCAGGAGCAACCAATCACATCTCAAATGACCTTAACAACTTATCTAGTGCCTCAGAATACCAAGGTCCAAACAGGCTTCACATGGGTAATGGTGTTGGTGAGTTTATTCATCATATTGGCAATGCTCAGTTTTCATCTCCTTTTAGTTCTAGAACATTTGTTCTTGATAAAATTCTTCATGTTCCATCCATAACTAAAAACCTTCTTAGTGTTTCTAAGTTTGCAAGTGATAATGATGTGTTTTTTGAGTTTCACTCTGATTATTGTGTTGTTAAGGACCAAGCTTCTCATCAAATCCTCCTCAAGGGAGTTCTTAAGGAAGGCCTCTATCAATCCAATCTTCATAACCAGTCAGAAAAAGCCAACCATCTTCACCACAGTCACAAGAAAATTCCACCAACTGCATTTGCTGCTTTTATTTCCAAGAAGTGTGACCTTGAAACTTGGCACAAACGATTAGGACATTCAGCAAAAGACATTGTAATAAGAGCTTTGAAAAGTTGTAATATTGAATGTTATTACAATGAAATGAATGATCCTTGTTCCTCATGTCTTTTTGCTAAAGCTCATAAATTGCCTTACTCATTGTCTGATTGTACTTGTCAATACCCTTTGGAACTTGTTCATTCTGACCTGTGGGGTCCTTTCCCAATCAAATCCAGGAATGGATACCATTATTATGTCACATTTATTGATCATTTTAGTAGATTCACATGGCTTTATCTCTTAAAACAAAAATCAGACACTTATGCTGCCTTCACTCACTTTAAGGCTCTTGCTGAGAATCAACATAATAGGTCCATTAAAAGTGTTCAAACAAATTGGGGTGGTGATTTCAGATCCTTGTCAAAATTTTTCCAAGATCATGAGATACACCACAGATTGTCATGTCCTTACACCCCTCAGCAAAATGGAATTGCTGAGAGGAAACATAGGCATGTAGTAGAAATGGGACTTTCTTTGTTAGCTCAATCTTCCTTTCCTATGGCTTTTTGGGATGATGCATTTGTTACTTCATGTTATCTCATAAACAGAGTTCCAACTAAACAGCTCTCTTTCAAAAGTCCTCTTGAAGTTCTATATGGCCACAAACCAAATCTTCACATCCTTAAAGCTTTTGGTTGTTTGTGCTACCCATTGTTGAGACCATATAACAAACATAAGTTGCTTTTCAAATCTGATTCTGGTACATTCATTGGATATAGTCCTCATCACAAAGGTTATAAAGTTATTTTACCTTCTGGCAAAGTTATCATAACAAGAGATGTGGTTTTTGATGAAAAACAATTTCCATATAAGCAAAAGCTTTTGTCCACAACTTCATTGTCTCCTAAAACTTCTGTTTATTCTAATGCTTCACCTTGTGTTGTTGATTTATCTAAATCTTACCACAGAACAACATCTCAACCTATCCCTCATACTACTTATCAACCCACAGCCACACCACCCTCTTCTGTTCAGCAATCACCTCAACACACTCAGTCTCATCTATCTCATCACAGTACCTCAAGAAGCTCCAATACTAGCAATTCTACCTTACCATTATATGTTGAGCTGCCAATTATGGTGAATAATTCTCCTACTCACCTTAATCATGCTAATGAACCTGTTGCTACTAATCAGTCTGCTCATCCTATGATAACCAGGTCCAAAATAGGCATTTACAAGCCTAAGGTATATGTGAGCACTGCCACAGAAACTGAACCTTCCACAGTTTATGAAGCTTTAAAGGATGTGAAGTGGAATTCAGCTATGCAGGAGGAGTATAATGCTCTTCTCCACAACAAGACATGGGATCTTGTTGAATTACCTCAAGGCTACAATATAGTGGGCAGCAAATGGGTGTATAAAGTGAAAAGGAATGCAGACAATTCCATTTCCAAATTTAAAGCTAGGTTGGTGGCTCAAGGATATTCTCAGACTGCAGGTTTTGATTTTAGAGAGACTTTTAGTCCTGTGATAAAGCCAGCAACAATCAGAATAATTCTAGCCTTAGCTGTGAACATGAAGTGAAAAGTTAACCAACTAGATGTTAGCAATGCTTTTCTCCATGGATAATTAGAAGAAACAGTTTACATGAGGCAACCCCCAGGATTTGAAGTGCCTTCATCAACTGAAAAACCTCTAGTCTGCAAGTTACATAAGGCTATCTATGGTCTAAAGCAGGCTTCTAGGGCATGGTTTAACAAGATCAAGAGTTCTCTCTCCAAACTTGGCTTCAAGAAATCAGTGGATGATACTTCTCTTTTTTATAAAACAAACAAGAACTTGCAGATCTTTCTTCTCATCTATGTTGATGATATATTAATCACAGGCAATGATGAAACTGAAATCAAGAAAACTATTCACAGCTTGGGAACTGTTTTTCCAATCAAGGATTTAGGAATTGTTCATCACTTTCTTGGAATTGAAGTGCATAACACCTCAGAGGGTTTGCATTTGTCTCAGCACAAGTACATTTGGGACTTGCTTAAGAGGGCTAACATGGAGAATGCTAAAGGATGTCCTACTCCTATGGTTTCCTCCTCTCAGCTTTCAAAATACTCTGGAGATCCTATCATTGATGGCACCTTTTACAGGAGCATTGTAGGTGCTCTTCAATACTTAACCATCACAAGACCAGAAATCTCTTTTGCAGTCAATAAAGTAAGTCAATTTATGGCTTGTCCTCTTGACATTCACTGGAAAGGTGTTAAAAGAATTCTGCGGTACTTGAGCAGCACTTCAACTTATGGTCTTCACTTAACTGCAACTGATAAACTTCATTTGTTGGGTTCTTTGATTCTGATTGGGCCGGTGATCCAGATGATAGAAAATCTATAACAGGATCTTGTATTTTTCTAGGAGGGAATCTCATTACTTGGTCTTCAAAAAAACAACATGCTATATCTCGTTCTAGTACTGAAGCAGAATATCGAAGTTTAGCTTTCACTGCTGCTGAAATGAGTTGGATACAGTCACTCTTGCATGAGATTGGTATTTTCACTCCTATTGTGCCTGTAATCTGGGTTGATAACCTCAGTGCAATTGCCTTAGCAACCAATCCTGTCATGCATGCTAGGACAAAGCATATTGAGCTCGATATTCATTTTGTGAGAGATAAAATCAGCAAAGGAGAAATCTCAGTTCAACTTGTTCCCACTTGTGATGCTAGGACAAAGCATATTGAGCTCGATATTCATTTTGTGAGAGATAAAATCAGCAAAGGAGAAATCTCAGTTCAACTTGTTCCCACTTGTGATCAATTAGCTGATATTTTCACTAAGCCATTGAGTCAACAATTCTTCACTCGGTTAAGACAGCTGCAAGGAGTCACCAATCTCACCTCGCTCGAATTGAGGGGGGCTGTTAGACATAATGAAGGATTAGTCTCTCTTAATCCTCTCTCACATGCACGAGATCTGCATGAGAATGCATGAGCTGGATAGTTTTGAATTTCTTGCCTTTATTTGAATAGAATAAGTGGCTAGCATTTGTCGAGTACATTGCACCCCTTAGCATCTATCCATATTAGGGTTTGGCACATATATAAGAGCAAGCTTGCTCAGCCACTGTAATCATCTTTTCAAGTAATGAAACAATGGCATTAATGGCAACTTTAGCTTTTTCGATTTCTTCACAATGGCCTTTCATTTTCATGCCTTTCTCTTTCAATTGTCAATGGGTCATGGGATGATAATTATTTGATTTAAGTCTGTTGTCCTTTTTGTACTGGTAGGTTGAATCTGTATGTTTAGCAAGTACCAATTATATGGTAGACCTTTTTTCAGATTTTAGTTATCCCTTATTGTTTACTTGTGCTTTTATATAATTACCGGAGCAAGCTAAAGTTGTGTGAATTTTGATAATGCATGGTATTTGTATCCCCCCATTTTTTTAGATATTGCATTATATACGCTTAGATATTTACAGTATGAGCCATCATCATGCTTTGTAGTTTGTTAACATTCTAACATATAGAAACTCTAGAAACTACGATTGATTGGATGGTGGAGAAGGAGAGGAACCAAACGGCGGAGCTGGCAGCGTCTAGCTGCAGTGGTCTGACTCTGGCCATGCTGATTAACAATGGGCTTTTCCCGGTTAGGTTTCCGATTATGCTCGCGCTTATGTCACCGGTGGTGACGTTTCTTGCTAGGCGCAATCTTTTCAAGCTGGGTTTATGATTTGCTCAGTTTTCTTTGTTAGCTGTTCATATTATGATGATTAATTTTCTTGAAATAATGTCTGAAAAACAACTTTTGTTTGTCAAACTTGTTCATGTTATTGGGAATAATAAAGATAGGCGTAGAATGATGAGTAATTTGTGTTCTTTTATCATCTGTTGAAAGGTAGAAATATCGGAAAATTTGTATGCATACGTCTCAGGTTTGTGTTGATCCCACAATGAAAAACTTGTAGTGTGTAGGGTGAGATCTCAAAATTTCATCTTGCTAATGAATGTACATTCTGTACCAATAATGTACTTATGTCCTGCAAATTCTTTTAGCAAGTTATTGCATGACAATATGACCTTTTATACTTTTAAGGATAGAGATAGTGTTTTTATAATTCTGTTGAGTCCAACATCTTTTACCATCTTATTCGTCAGAAATTGGAGCTGTGATAATTTATTGTTAGATACTGAGGTTTAGTTTTACGGTAGCTATGGAGTCCTAAAAGTGAAGCTAAAGCTTGCTATCTAATGGTTCTGAAACTATAGGAATGATAAAAAGCACATTAATTATTTTCATAAACTTTCTCCCTTCCCTCTTTTCAGCAGAAAACTGCTTAAACCAGCACATATTGAAGGCTTCTTGAGTATAACTGAATATCAACGTAGCTCAAAATCTGTGTCACTAAGCAATATTATTCTTTTGATCTCGGTTTGCCACTCGCCAAGCAGGATTATTGCTTGATAGTACATAACCCTTATGTACATTTGACTACGTTGATACGTTTTTGCTTATATCGTTGTTTGGACAACCACAAAATGGAAACTGAAAATTCTTAGTAACTCTTTAATCTATCTAAGAGACATTTTCCTTCTTTCTGTTGTACCGTCTTGTTGAGGTGAACTGGTGCAATTGTAACTGAATCTCAACATCTAATTAGTAACTCTCATATTTTTTAAAAAATTATTAATCACCACGATTATAATTGTAGTATCACTGATGCATTAACCTTTTCCCACAACTGAATTGTAGTATCACTGTTGCATTAACCTTTTCCCACAACTGACTTTGTACTCCCTTTACGTACTAAAGCTTATGGAACATTACTTAGTTGTACGATGTATCGAATAAATTTTTTAAAAATGTGAAATATTCAAAACTACTTGTCTGAAAATGATGGGATCACACAAATCTAAATGAACCAATAATAACATAATTATCAACTAAATTTGAGTCGGTTGTGCGTGCACAACCAGAAACAAACTAGTATATATATATAAGGTTAGGGTTACGATAACTTTCCATCAAGTAATCTATACACAAGAGAAAAAGAGGAAAAACGGTCCAGGTCAGGCCTATGTGCGCGGGCGCGAGTTTAGGAGTGGGGCGCGGTTTAAATGACATGGGCCAGCTTCTCGGTTTAATAAATACGATAATATACGTGGCTCGGTTATAGCACGATAATTAAAATAAAACCGAACTAGTATTTCACCATGTGCATTTGCACAGATATAAATAAAGTATTATAAGTTATTTGTATATATATTAAAATTGTAAGTTAGATATGATATTAAATTTCAGACACAGGATATTATATATATGCATAAAATATAAAAATTATAAGTTTGATACTGACATTATGTTTTAAAATTTGATCATTGGTTAAAATGAATAGTACATAATGATTTCATTGCAGATGAATCACTATATTAATTGCATAAAATGTAATAAATAACGTATTTTGTAGTTCTGAGGCAGCATGACCAATTAATTAGGTGAAAAATATTAAACTTATTATAAAAATTTCTTATGTGGTTTTAAGAAATTTTACTATGACATTAAGATAAATTAATTTATTTGAATAACAATTGCTTAATCAAATAAAAAATATAATATTGATTTTAAAATAAATCATTTAAACATAAAGTTTTTACAATATAATTTTTTTAGGTTTATGTAACTTTCATCTATCAATTAGTGTAAAATATAATTATTAATTTTAATAATAACTATTATATGATATAATAAAAAATATAATTATTATTTAATTAATATAATAAGTAACAAATTTTGTCTTAATTAACCAAAAAAGTGCAAGAATTTTTTTTATCATTAATGGGATATAGTGAATTAATGTAGTAGTAATAATAATAATAATAATAATAATAATAAAAATAATAATAATAATCTAGTGTAACGATTTTGTGTTAAGAAAGTTACCAAATTGCCCTCCTACTTAATTACACATCAATAGACCATTATGTTTTTATTTTTTCTATCTCCTCTATCATTTATTAAGACTAAAGTTTAATGAGACAAAATTCATTAGGTAAAATTAAATATGTTTTATTTATGGAAAAAACTACTTGTACAACTTTTTTTGTACCACATTCAATTACAACATGATGTGGCATAATGTGGGTAGTTGATATGCAATTAAATGTATGATTAAGATTTGAGTTAATGATACTTTTAACTAAGTTGTCAACCGATGTTGTAAACTACAATTGTACATGTAGCATTAGGTAAAATTTATTGCTTTGCTAGCAATTATATATATATATATAGTATAGATAATAATAATAATAATATAATAATAATAATAATAATAATAATAATAATAATAATAATAATAGTAATAATAATAATAATAATAATAATAATAATAATAATAATAATAATAATAATAATAATAATAATAATAATAGAAGATTGTAACATAAAAAGATGGTAAACAATAATCAATATTATAAAATTTATTAATTAGTAATTAAATATGGAGAGAGAGATATAAATGATAAAGTTTGTAACGGTTTTTGGAGGAAAATCGAAATGAGGTTTTATTAAATGTTTTATTAAATGCTATTAGCCAACAATTATATATATATATATATATATATATATATATATATATATGTATATTAAAAAACAATTGTTTATAAGATTTTAAAGTTGTTTAACTATGCTATTAAAACAATTTACTACTTGTTTTTACAGAAATTTTTTTATGAGATACACAAGAAAAAGATAATATTGATGTTAAAATACATAACTTGAAACAATTGTTTATTATTATCTAATTTATATTTATTGTGAATTATTATTAGTAGGTATTAGCAATAACTATTATATAATATAATAGAAATATATATGATTACACTCATTAAGATGTATTAATGTGAGAAGTAAAAAATATTAATGATAAATTTTGTAACCGAAAATGGAGGGAAAATATTAGAGGTTTTATTAAATAGGTTTTATTAAATGCTACATGCCAGCAATTATATATATATATATATATATATATATATATATATAATACATGCATTATTTAATTTATTTAATATTAATAGGCATTTAAAGAATTAGACATTTAATAATAATAATAATGATAATTATAACAATTAGGTATTTAATATAATAATAATAATAATAATAATAATAATAATAATAATAATAATAATAATAAATAAATAAAATATCCCAATTATTATTCATAAGCGAACGGGTTATATCCGATTCACGCGATTTTTTCGATATCGTTGAACGACGAACGTTTTCCAATAAAAACGATCGAGTAATCCAACCTTTTATTTAAGTCGACAACGCGACTAATAAAAGAAATATAACATTGTAAATAATAATCGATAAACGGAATATTTTGAAAAAATTCTATAAATCGAACAGGGCGCTACACCTAATCTTTGTTTATAAGATTTTTAAAAAAATTTCCAACATTTTGACTCAACTACTTTTTTTAACTCAACTTTAACTCAACACCACTATTATCAAAATTATCAATATAATTAAATAATATCAACCAATCATTCATACACACCACATCAACCTTAATTAACTATTCATCTACTCACATAATTTTAACTAACCATCACATCACATCTTCTCTCTCCTACTTTTATATAAATTTAATTTAAATTATTTTATTTTAAGTATTATTTTAATATATCCACTAACAACTAACCATACCACATTTTCAAAATTAACCAAATCAAACAAAAAAATCCAAACAAACCTAAAAAATTTTATAAACAAACATGCTCCTAAGAGTCTCTACTGTAGCTCTATATATACACCATTAGGCTCATGGAAAAGAGAAGAGATCATAATTCTCCTTCGTGTGATAAAAATCGCATGCCTCTCTCTCTCTCTCTCTCTCTATCTAGATTTTTGTTCAAACTTTATCTTCTTCTTGTTGCTCCACCGAGACAAGTTGAAGAGTTGTAAGTGTAATACAGTAGAAGATCCAAAGGTAATCGAGACCCGATGATCATCTACAGCAATTGACGATCCACGAGCCAGAGCCCGAGGAACGCCAACCGCCGACCATCCGCGAGCCGCTGTGACCGACCTGAGGACCGCCGCAACCTGGCCAGCCAGCGCAACCCGACCGGTGAACCAGCTCCGTGACTAGCCCGGAGCCCCGAACGTGCGAACTCGACCTGTTCGTGATCCAATCTTGTTCGTGTGCTTATCCCGGTTAATTAAAGATCAGCCAAATCGCCAAAATTTTAAGCCGTAAGTTTTCTACGTCAAACCTTTAGATCCGCTGCGCATAGGTTTACACTTGCTATTGAATTCATGATTTGTACAGAACGAGATCCTTACAGATCCCGACACACCGGACATCAACCCCACCTTCCGCGCGACCAAACAAACACCCAAACGTGACCCACCGGAAAACGGCCCTAGAAACTACAGTTCAAGACGAACCTTAGATCTGAAGACTACAGCTCAAGGGATGTTTCTTCGGTTTTTTTTCCTGGTAACTATATATTTGCATACACACAAATAAATTTCATCTAATTGGTAGGAATGCAATTAGAGCACTAGTTTTAGAAACAAGTTCATTTCAACACTTTCAAATTAATAGAGATTCTAACTGATGTTTAATACTGAAGAATGTTATAATTTTACCTAATGAGCGAAAAACCCCCAACAGTTCTCTCGCCGGTGCGGCAACCCTCGATTCCGCCGGTGATCCGCTGCAGGAC